TTTGGTATCGTCCGTTGGTGCGTCAACTGAAATGTTCATGTCCTTACTAAGTGGTCGTTCTCACGGCGCATTCCGTGCTTGGCGTATGGGCGGAGTTAGCCCTAGCGCTGTGTCATCCTCTTGGCTTTTCTACGGAAGGCGCAGCGATAGGCTCGACTAAGTACAATAGCCCATAGAATAAGGACAGAATGTTCCTTCGTTAACTGCATAGATACTTACCTGTGTAATAACTTCCATTTCTTAGCGTGCAGTTCCAGTTTGGTTCAAGTGATCCGAGGACGTCCATGAAGGTGCTGTTTCCTAGATGTTGACCTTTATTATGTCGTTATTTGACTTTATTATTTTTAGAAGAAACGAACGGGACCCTGCTGTAACGCTATAAAAGTGCTTTGTAGGAGGCCACAGCTTGTGGAATCAGAAAAATTTTTGAATTCTGGCAACTGATCCTTTTTGAACGATATGGATTGGTTTCCGACATCTACGCGCTTCGGCTTGGCTGGGACACCAAATTATATTTGGAGAAGCGAGTTCACGCCAACTTGTGAATAGCTGTAAATTACTGTAACCAAAGTGGTTCACCAACACCACTTCGTAGCTTCAAAGAGCTCACAGCTCTCACCAGAGCGTAAGCGATTGATTAATACCAGTGAGAGGAACTAGCGAAAGTGAAAAATGCCCTCCCAAATCGGAAACCGCGTCTAGTTCTGTGCAGACATGCTTCTTCTGTGCAAGACATGCTTCTTCTAGTACTCTCCCCTATCCCATAGGAGATTTCTTACTAATTTCAAAAGCGATTTCTCCGACCATGCAAATTTTTTTCGGAAAACTTCTCTGCTGGGCTTTTCCTCGTGCTATTCCTTCTTACATCAAAGGGTTCTCGTTCTACGTCAGAAGTACGTCTTATCACTCATTACCCCGTGTTGCAGGTCGTATAGAGCCATAAAAACCTTATCGCAGTTAATCGATACGAGTTTCACCAAAGCGTAGAAAGCTAATGCAGTTGGATGTTGGTAGCGCTGTAGCGCAGTAGCGCTAGTCGTGTTGAGGAAGGTGTGAGATCGGAAGAGCAGCGGCGCTTAGTTGTGTTGATAGGTAGTTTGCGCACGCGTATTGACTTTCATAATCTAAGTTAGTGGCTTCTTTCCAAAAGCCGCCTGACGTAAGTGAGAGAAAGCGTCCTGCCAAAGGAACCTGGCCCCAAGTCTGAATAGATGAAAGACTCGCTGAGCCGAGACACCCGAGTTCCGGTGGTGAAGCCGACAGAAACCAAGCAAAGCAAAAACAGCCTCGAATACGTGGTGGTTTCACGACAAGAATTGGGCACTCTTAAATTTTTGTTCTATCTTATTTTTCACTGAGGCTAATATTATTGAGGTTTTGTGCGCATCCCTGAATCTCGTGAGGTAACGTGTATACTCATAAGCGCCCGTCAGGGATCCCAGCAAAGGTTGCATTCGGTCGCTAGAGGAGAAGAGAGTCCTGTCGCGCAGTCTGAGAAGGTTTTGCTAGTATGTACGTTTCTTGTATTCAAAAGCGCTTCAGTTGAATCAAAGTGAGAGTTCTGATAGTCAAAGGCAGCCGCGTTCATTTGATGTTCCTGTGCCCTCCTTACATATCGTAGCTTGTCGACAAGTGTGGAGGACGTACTAATTTCGCAGCTTAAAGTACCTGATGGATGGGGCCACCGAGCCTGTGAAGAGATGGCCGCCCCACCCAACATTGGCTGCATAAGGCGTTTCCCTTTAGAGGCTGAAGGCGCCGCTTTCAAGAATAAGGAGTTATGAGCTAATATAGTAATACGTGATCCATTTATGTGAAAGAGAAAAGCAGAAAACAAGATCATGAAACATGCCCTTGGTTGTGGTTCCTTGGGGTGAGGTGCATTGATGGGTCTGCAAACAGGAAACTGGTACGCTTAGGAGAAAGAAGTTTGGCGGACTGGGTCATTTAGCGAAAGATTTGCGCCAACGGGTAAATTCGACATTAATCGACGGGCTGCTCTCCGCCATTGAGCAACTGGTAAAGTAAGTTATAGTTGAGAACTCGCATAGAATAAAATATGAATAAAAAATAGACTAAATAATAAACTGACCTGCCCATTCTATAGATGCGTACAGGATGACTATCACCGTGAAAATTTGATACGGACCGAATGGGTTGATTTTCTGAAAGGAATTTTTCGTTGGGATAATTTTAAGGAGACTAGCTGTTTGCACAGAATAACTGAATTAAAGACAGAGCAAGTAGTCAGAGTAGACTGGGATAAGTTCGGAGCAGTTTGAGGTTTTCAATCAGCCGAGACACGATCCACGCTGGTCACATGGGCGGAGTCGGTTTTTTCAGTGTGCCTCTTTTTCATTTCTTACAGCATAAAGAAGGAGGCGTGCCATCGAAGAAGGCATGTTAGGACTGACATTGAGGCCATGATAGAAGTGTACTGCTTCCTCTAGTTAGGGAGCACTTAGAACTTATAAGGCTGCGTTCATGCTTTGAGAGACGGTGCTTTGGGAAGATCAGGCGTTGAGACACTCGGCTCTCAGGAGAAGCCTTTTTGAACGTAATGCTGCATTCGAGGCATCGGCATATTGAATAAATCGTGTTCAGAGCGGTGTGCGGCTCGGATTCATGCTTATGCATTTCGTTTTCGCGTCTAAAACGCCAATTAACGCAACTCATGAAGCGCCAGTTACAAGAGGATATTGCACTGATGGTAAATGTGAGAAAGGAAGTAGGGGCGTCCGAGTGTCACGGGATCAAAGTTAAGCTTCCAACATATATGCATAAAATGCAAGAGAACAGCACCTGCAGCACTTCCTCGAAATGCGTGTAAAAGACAACATCCTTCTTTTTCTGCTTCTTCTTCTGTGCGTAGATCGGCCTGAAGGATAATACTTTACAGGGAGGGTAATTGGTTTCCACAACAACAGCAAAATAGCTTTTTGATGTTCGCAAAATTGCGTAGTAGAATTTTAGCGCAATTTGGAGTGGAATATAATCAAATATGAAACATGTTCAGCCTGAGATGGATGTATGTCAGTAGAGACGGTCTAGAAGACCACGCTTCAAGAGTCTAAGAAAGTGGTCACATTGTCTGTGCAATTAAGGCTCCGGCACGCCAGAGAACTGCTAACTTACACAATGCCTCATGCACTGGAACGCGGCGGGCGTGTCAAGTGCTGCCCGTCTTCCGCGGTGATGAAGTCGTTCTGCACCAGTTGTTGAAGCGGGCAAGTGACATTACTGTATTATATCCTTCGTATTACTCGTTTTCTACCACTTTTTTGTCGCATACGCGTTTCAACGAAAAGGCTGAGAACGGCTTCAACAGTGTGCGCACTCCTACTGCTGACACGCCCCACCGGTTCCGCAAATGATGAGGTACATTATGTTGAGACCATTGCAACTTTCGTTTTTGCCGAAGTTATGTTGACAGGACTCTCTCGCTTCCCACCCTACCCGCCACCCTCCCTCCACCCTTCAACACCAATTTTTTCTGGAAGAAGGAGCTACTCAACTTCGGCGTTTCTCGTGAACAAAAGTAAAGTGGCAACAATTTTGGAAATTCGTCAAATGGCAGAAGTTTGGGAAACAGGGTAAGTTCGGATAGGGAATGACGTTCGTACTGGGAGAGGGATATCTCGCTCGCTACGCACTGATCCGCTGGCTCTTATAGCGTTGACAATCACCAACTCCCCTTTGTTTGCAATTCAGAAGACTGAAGAGCACAGATCAGCTCAAGTGATCCATCATGCTTGTGATGGAAGGAGCGAAAACTTGTAAGCAGTCCAAATAAAGTAGAATAAAAGTCACTGGATTTACCATTCTTGAGGGCCACTTTGACCTACACAGCAGCGCCAACAAGGAAGCGGTCAAATACGTTTATGGAACCGCACTACATATTTCGTCGTTCGTGTAGAATCGGATGAATGCAAATTTCAAGAAGTTCGCTTCAAGGAAGTACACTCGAAATCCCTGAGATGAGGTAGGCGTGGCTGCGTACTTCAACTAAACGTCGTGGTGGCTGTGCTCTTGGAAAGACATTTTCATTTTGACCCAAATGTGGTCACGTCTTTTTCCAACAAAGAACAAGATGGCGGTTGTCTGAAATTTAAATATCCCACGAGTAACCAGTTCCGTGCCATGTTCGAATGCCACGCCTACCCCGTCTCAGGGTTAAAGAGTATATATGGAGAAGCACAGCACAGACACTAGCGATTGTAAAAAAAGTCTGAAAAAAACTTCACAAAATTAAAAAAAAGAATTGGGTGGGTATCATCGAATGATTTGTGTCCGTGGAAGTCATCTGTGTCATCTAATAGGCTTTGGAGAGTCAAGGGCTTTACCCTCATTCCGGATAACATCAAAAAGGTGGGACGATAATGGAACCCTTACAATAATTAGCCCTATAGAATCACTCTCTGCTGAAAATTCGATCATAAAAAAAATAGGTTAATTTGAGGCTGTATTTAAAGCTTCCCACAGATAAATGTCACTGAAAGACCTCGAACTTTGTTTAGAAGGGAATCAAGTAAGAAGTGGAGTTTCAGTATCAACTTGTCTCTGTTTCAAGGAGCCACTCGAATAAAATAATGTGGACAAAGCACTCGAATAAAATAATGTGGACATCGAAAAATTGAACTAAATAGAACTTGTTAGTAAAACTCGAAAAAAGCGAAAATTTAAAAGTTGTGTAGGTCCGTTACTAGTGGTTATGTAAGGAATTTTTCTTAATCATACATAGAAACCAACAGCGCAGCTCACTTGTATATTCTTCGTGTTAAATCTCAAACATAAGAAGCGGAATGACTTTTTTGCATTAAAACCGACCTTTAAAACGGTATAAACCATTAACTCCATGTATGGAAAACAAAAACGTATGAAACCAGGGGCCTGGATAGAATTTTTTTACCGTTTCAGCTGCTACAGAAAATGAATAAGTAAAAATAATATCAATAATACTTCCCGAAAACTGTAACAAAACCCTGTAACGTTTGGGATCGTTCAAGAAATTAGAGCTGATTCTTACATATACAATTCAGGGCACTGAAGCCTGATGCCTAGGGTCACTGGTGAACAATTATTTAGTTCTTACCGTTTACCAGCCATTTTTTTTTGGATTTTAAGCAGAAAACAGCAAGTAGGTCCTTAAAAAAGTTCTCTCGTTGGAACAGCTTAACTTATGGTAGGTCATAACAACTCCTTTTCCTATACGCTTAAAATCCAAAGTCTTTCAAGGGACTAATAAATTAAGCTTACCGCTCATTATCACTGCTGTCGGACATTTCACGGCGAGCGGAGAAACACAAACCTTATCGCCGACAGGAGCAAGACACCCAATAGACGGAACTAATCAGATTTGATTGAAATCAGTTCAGCGGGTAGTAATCAGTGGGCTTCATGTCTGTAAGTTTTTGGACGTTAGAAGGAAGGAAGCTACATTACAAAATTGGGTTGGATCCTCCTAGAGGGGCATGGTGCAAACTGCAGCAACACTTTTGAAATTCAGCCGATTTATTGTTTCAAGTTGTTCGCTATAATGACTGCTGATTGAATGAGAGAATGCAGGCCAGTGGCGCCATCTGATAGCGGCAACCGCCATAAAAGCATGAGGTAAGGGTTCGACTTTCGCTCTTGAGTCAGCTTTTCTGTTCAGTAGCAGCACAACCTTGGTTGTCTGTTTTGCTTATAATGTTCAATCATCTGGGAGGTGGAGTCCTCCCAGTTTGTGTAATGGATCCAAGTAAAGTAGCCGCATGATGTCTACAACTTTCATCATTCGAAAGGCGTACTAAGGGAGCTGTAGCTGCTGGTGGCCATAAATGCAGCCCATACAGGGATAACTGCCCCAAATGCGTACCACTCTATGGTGTACTGATCCCTCGGTGTGTGTACGGTTCTCTGGCTCTCGCCAGCATAGTGAGTGTCTCTGCGTCTCTAGCCACCACACTGTTCGTATAATGTTGGAAGTCAAAACCTCTACTTGCGGGCTCTCCTCCGGTAGAGGTGACGCAACTGCAAACGCTGGTTTGGTGGCCTTTTCATTCTTCGTAAAACAACAAGCCTATCAGTCAGCGTACAGCTACCCAAAGTGGGCGCTGAAGTATTAAATGGCCAACTAATGCTACAGATCACTGTTAGACGCCGCAACGTAAGAAGCCTGCGAAAGTGATGGAGGGGTAATGGACAAGAGCATAGCGTCAGCACCACCCCTGGTGGGGTGTGCGAGCGACCCCCGCGCCCGACGGAAACGCGTTGCTCGTCCGCGCTGGTTGAACCTTGATAGCCAGGACGCACACGCCGCACGGACAACGCAACAAATTACGATTGTCTTGTCCGTCTCCCGTGAGTAAGGAGCAGAGGCGCAGTTGGACGACGGAGAGCATTTTGTACTTTCACTGCTCCACTAGTTTCGCTTTACCAGTTTCACTGTAGTGAAACCTGCGAACTTTTGTGAAGACGGAGCGAGGTCGTCAAGCCATAATGCAAAACCTATCAACTTCGAGAAGCTGTTAGATAGCGGTTTGAAACGTTGATGGGGAAAGTACGCGCAAGTGCCAAAATGCTCTCCCCCCGTCGCCGAACTGCGCCGAACGAGACAGGGCACGCCATCTTTGTGATCATCACAACAGGGGGGGGGTCGTATTTGCCCGCGATGGAGGGGGGGGGTCGTAAACGCATGGCCCATGTTGAAGTGGAGAGAGCGGTGATACACGGTACAAGTAAAAAGAAGCTCAAAAGGGACGATGTAGATGACAATAAATAGAACTAGGCACTATCGAACTATTCCTAGGCCAAAAACTAAAAAAAATATTGCTGAAACTTTTTCCTCCTTCCTCACAAAAAACTTCAAGACACTTCGCCCACCAACCCTCCTCATCTGGTCTAGGTAAATCCCAATCCACTAATCCGCAAAATCTAGAAAAGAATCCATTGCAAAAGCTACCTATGAAACCGTAGAAATTGAATCCTGAGCAATTTCCTCACAACAAAATCAAATTCAACAAAACAAAATTAAACTCAACAAAAACAAACAAAATCAAAGTAATTCGCCAATAAAATGGATAAGAAAAAAACTCACCGCTCAGCTGGGAACCGGAACTATGGATTACTTTTGAATTTTGGCTGTTCGCGGTCAGCGCGCTCATACAAGCGCATTGGTGCGCGCTATTTTACGGTTTGGAGCCAATTTCAAGCCAAACACGTGAAAAGTACCCCTCATTTGAACACCCATAACTTCGTTGAATGTGAAGCTATCGGAGAGGGGTAAGTGGGAATGAGTAGAGCTAGGTTGGCTCTTATCACCTGAATTGAGCGATTTCAAAAACGTTCCGGTTCCAGAGATTTTCCCCGTTGTGATCAATTCTTTGGGTTGCATCCATCTGCTGATCATTTTTGCGAAACGCCGAGTCCGCTCGCTTTGGACTCCATCGCAAAGCGCCTTCAACACGACCTTTCGTAAAAGAAAGAACACTGTGCTGGGCTTGAAGATTTTCTACTATTCCAGCAAAGGTTTTAATTTCTTTTCCTAGACCTACCTATTATTCGAAAAAATTCCCCGTTGTGATCATTTTGTAATCACCCCCCACGACACCGAAAAATCAACCCCTCCGAGGCCAGGAAACCTCCAGTTGGCTCGAAGACTTTGGTATGCTTCTGAACACATGTTTTCGTCAAGCATATCAGGTAATAGGCCATTGGGCGCCAATTGGCATCACATATGCAATGCGCCATGCATGGGCTTTCACGCAGGTGTTTGAAAGGTGTAACTTCTAGATAGGGCTTCCCAATTGCAAGCAAATGTGCTCCTACGATCAGAAAAGTCCGGGAATGTACTTTCATCTGTTTATTAATCGTCACGTCGTGAGTCCTCTTGTTTGTTTATAAATTCATGGGGCCCTTGTGATGAATTCATGGGGCGGTGATCGTAGCTCCTATCATCGCCCCTTCCTCGTACGTATTGTCAGTATGCTACACCAGCGCCAGAGTGCTGGACGTGCTTGGGACGTACGTAGGTACTGCGACCCCCCCCCCCCCCCCCGCTCGACAGCAAAATTTTGTAAAAAAACCAGAAACTTTTTGGGAAAAAAAATAGGCAAAGTGGTAGGAGGTTGGAAAAATCTAGGGAAGAGGTAACGTAGGCAGGTGCGCGTCGCTACTGAAGATGAATTTAGGGGGGGGGGGTCGTATTTTTTCAGAAATGATTCACAACGCCAGTGGCGTGCCCTCGCGAAACGGGAGTTTGCGTCGCCTTCGCCGTAGCGTGAAGTTAGGATATGTCAAACTGTGTGCGCTCACGGGAACCGAACATTGGAATTTTCTTACGCCAGCGTTTGGAGATCAGGGCCCACATCGTTGTTGGGGAAGCCCTAGTATGGGGGGGGGTCGCTATTTTGGGCATTGTTGCGAAGGAGCGAGGGGGTCGTAATTACTTTCTGCCGCTTTTCACAGTCGCCCGGAGAAGCGGAGCTGTACAGATAAGCCTGAACAAAAAGAGTGCTCTGTTTTGAAGTTCAGACGGGGGAAAAGGTCATAAAACAATAGATAAGGGAGGCGCTAAGAACAAAAAAAAGTGCGTGAGAGGCAGTCAGCCCCAAAAAAGAAAACAAGATCTGCAAGTGGATACATACGCTCGTGATCCTTACAAACGATAGAGATTGCTTGGAGAGCTGCCAAGGAGGCCTTATCCAGTAATAATGGTGCCATCCTGAGTCCGCAACGAGTGACGGGAAAGGCTGTTCTGGCGACGATCCAACTCAAGTCCCTTCACATGCCCTATCGTTGGCAGGATCATGTTTGTACGAATATTAGGGGGCGGTGCAGCGTGATCTGATGGAACCGAAGTTGCAAAAGTCGGTCAGGGGCTCTTCTGGCCACCAGTATTTCTAACAAATTACACTTAGGAAAATGCATGACAGCTTCACATTCGCGCGCGCTCAATTCTGCCCATCCAAAGGCTGATGATGATTGTTTAAGACAAACGCTGAAAGAATAAGTTAGGAATGAGTTGTTGACTGAACCCTTCTTAGAATGCGCGCGTGCATTCTACTTCCATTCATAATCGTAGTATGTGTTGCGAGAATCCATTGCGGTAACCGCTGTAGAACGCAGGGAGTCCTTTAAAGCGCCCTATTGACGCTGGTAATCAAATAAGCCATATTGGTATTAAAGCCCTGGTCATTTCGTTTTCAAGTGACGTAAGTGCCAAAAAATAAATATTAAATAAATGGAAAATATAAATAAATAAATGGAAAAATTAAAACAAATTTTGACAAGAAAGCAGAAGCGAATGAGAGTACCGTTTTGCTGGCGGTGTGGAGTCGCTCATAATGAGGAAACATAAACGCTGTTATCTTTCCATTGGTGTCCACATAAAGATAGCTGAATAAAGCAATAACCGACCGTCGTCATGTTCATTTTTAATATTTCCGGTTTCAAAAAAATAAAAAAGATGGTTTTGTTGTAAGCTCAATATTCTGTAGAAAAACAGCGTAAAAAAGGTGAAGTAATACTTCAAAAAGACAATAATATTCAAAAGAAAAAATATCTTGATGGGAGCTCATCACCCTTCAGATTTGAATCACACACTTTCAACGTTCCTTAATAAAGTACCCTAATGCTATTATACGTAGAACGCTTCCCTCTTCTACAGTTGATATCGTCGCAATCCGCCGGAAGGGGGAGGGGTGCTAGGAGGCATGGAATGTGGCCGCCCGCAACGTGTGTTTCGACACAGGTTGTGTCGTAATGCTCTACGCAAACTCAATCAGTGGCCAGCGCCTTTTTCACGACTGCCACGCGCAGGCACGGTCATACGCTTGGTGGCATCTCAGCAAAGGGGAGGGGAGGGGGGTCGCGATTGCCTCTGAGGACACTCGGTTTTTCCTGTGTCAAATGAGTGTGCTATACGCCCTATTCCCCTTCCCGAAAGCAGTTTTCAGGAAAAAGAGGAATTTTCGAAAGGAGCTCCGGAGAAGTCGTAGGAAGCTGAGGGGGGGAAAAGTTCAGAGTCGGATGGCGATAGGATGATAATGAGCGAAGGAGGTAAGGGGAGGGGGGGGGGGGTGGGTTCAGAGCGAGCTTCTGAGACGCATATTTTGCAAATTCACCACAGCAGGACAAAACCGCGGACACCTGCCCGTCAAAATTTTCGATGGCCACCAGATTTCCGTTAAGTCGAATACTTCGACAGAGCGGTCGACGCACAGATATTTCTGATATTGCCGTTCGTTCCCTGGATATTGTAAATGGATGGAGGTGTGGAAGAGCTCAGGCCTTTTGATGA